ACAAGATAGTATATTATCATCAAGGATGGGCTGCAATCTCTACCATTGGTCTCTTCCGTATCCTCCGTTCCCACGAAGATCTAACTTGGGTAGGGCATGGCATATTTTCGACATGTAACTTTTCTTAATACTGCTTAAGGTAGTGGTAGTTGCCCTCACGAGGTTCCTTGATTTTTATATGGATTTTCACCTTATGTTGATCTCTACATATTACCTGTATTATAAAATAATATTTTTCAATGTTTAAGTTTCCGCAAATCTGCATGATGGATCTACATATTAATATGTTATTAGGGTTTAAGTGTATTCGAGTTACTTTTCACTGATGCCTCATTTCGCACCTTCTTTCGCCAATTTAAAATTTATGGCCAAGCTGATTAAAAATGGTATACTCTCTTTTTATTTTAAGCGTCAGGCTGTTTGCATCAACTCGAGGTTAACTAAAGCCTTCGGCTAAATGTTCCTTTTCCTTAACCAATAATCCTTTAATCGAAATGCGTATTTTTCAAAGGGCATACATTTTTATCTGTTATAGCGATTCCTTTGAATTTATTTTTTATTACCTACTTTTTGATACTTAGTCCGTATTTGATAATGTGAATTGAATTTTGAATTGCTTACTTTTTTAATCTTCCTGCTTGCTCTCAATGCGCCAAATTGCTGGTCAGGTTCTCGAAGTACTTTGTTCTCTCTGTCTCGGTCGGCAAGGTGGTGCTGTTCGATTGAACCAAGATCTTATATACGAGAGTCTCCTACCTAACCGAGATCTGCTACTCCAAACTAAGTTGGTTAAACAGCCGGGATCCATGCGACCCAACCTCTTTGTTGGCACCAAAGAGGTACAATTCATAATAAAACAAAATCTTATCTTTTAATTGTTATTTATTCCTATCTATATGACATATTAATTTCATTATAATCACGTTTACTTCATGTTTCCCCATCTGCCTTGTTTTAATCAAGTTAATTTGACAAATTGAATTGATTTTATGTCTTATTGCAAAATCATCATAAAATAGACTTCTAATAAGACTTCGAAGAATTTAACGTTTACTGCATCCTCTGTCATAGTATAACTAGTTACGAGACTATCAGTAGATCTTGAATTAAAGCCACTAAAAGTGGTAAATGACTAAGTTAAATTTAACGACAATGTTATGAATTCATCCTATATAGCCTATTGCAATGGCAAAAATACTCCGAAAAAATGCAAGTTTGCCTCATTTACAATCTCACCGCGACTGTGATAGGAAGGAAGAGTGACTCTTTTTGAAAGTCATACCTACTCTGTGACCCATTGACAGTCATGGCAATGTGCTAAGGTGGTAACATATTGAAAATATTTGCTGCGATATTATAGTTAGACTTCCAATTTAGGTGCTGATGAGGCAAAGATGAGGTCGAAACTGCATTCCATTCTAGAGAACAATACATTTCGGTATAGCAAAATATGCTGCTATTACTGAAAAAATTAAACTTTTGTGTCTCATCACTATGCGATCTAGGGTGACTTAAGTTTTTTATTTTTATCATCTTATCTTCTAGTATTGGACAATGCCATAGGCCAAGCTATCCCGATTTTAATAGCTACAAAAGAAATCAATATATCTTAATCTCAAAGTGACGCTCAGTAAAGAAGTACAATACTATATGATGCAATTCAATGTGAGGAGAGTAAATAGTAGCATTTAAAAGAATCTTAGAGCAAGGATTATTTTATTTTGTGAGTTATTATATTTCAGTCCAGCCTAATGGACTAGGGTAGATTGGGTAATACAAATTAGACTGGATTAGGTTTGATTTACCTATAATGGTATGAAAAACTTCTATGTATATTTGGTATCTGATTAAGATAGTTGCCATTAAAGTAGTCGATTAGAACATAATAAGAAATCCATTATTGAAATCAATCTTGTATTTTCGGATTTATAACTAGCCAGTATTAAAAGCCAATTTTTATTTCCATTTACCCTGCTTGCTGGTTCTGGTTCCTATTAAAGTTATTCAGCATTCATTTTGTCCCAAAAATATTAATCATTTCTATCCTGATAATCTATATAGTCCTAGGTAGTACCGTTAAATCCTAAAAATCATGTTCATGATGATGCTAATGCAATATTTGCTGATTTTATATGTGACTAGATGTTTAACATATTTAGATGAGCATTTTATCGCCAAATTTTCTGTTTTAAACTGACTATATTTGTAGTGATTATCATCATTATCCCTTTATGCTAAAGGATAAAACCTTCATTAAAAACTTAATCTTGGTGGCTCGATTTAGGGCGGCAACATGTACTCGAAGTGGTACTTTGAGCTAGCCATTGTCTCGATCGAGTCTCCAGGTGCATCGATTCGTGTTGGCTGGGGCAACACTGAGGGCTACGATGCGCAGCCGGGTGGTGGACCAGGGTGGGGTGCTGCCGCACTCGGCGACGACCTCTTCAGCTATGCCTTTGACGGCAAAAGTTTGTGGATTGCTGGCCGAGAGAAAGAGATCACTGCAGGAGTAAGTTCAATTTTCTATCTGCTTGATCGTGTCTTATTGGGTTATAAAAATAAGCGTTAATATCTCCATTATCTTCATTTGGTATCGAATTAAATATGATTGTTATTTATTGACTCCTTATTTCACACTTCTTATTTAACTTATTTTTGCCCTTTGTTTGCCACTAGTTGTTTGTCTAAGTCTACAAAACAAACAAGACTGCATTCTCTCTATTTACCAAGAAGTTAAAGATACGTTAAATTACCACAATAATCCAATTTGCTATATTTCAAGTGATGAGAGATCTATTAATATTGGCTCTGTGTTGAAAGACTTAATAATTTTGCGTCATTTGGCCTTATATTTCATGTGAAACGTTTTGCTTCATCGGAAACCGAAGGAGGCAATATTGCCAATGCATTATGCTTCCTCTTCACCTTTCTTATCGAACACTTTGTCATATACTTTAATGCATATATTTTCTGCCTAATATTTTTGTAATGAGGCCTCTTTGGCCGCTCTTCTGACCTCCATCTAAAATTTAGATTTTCACATCACTCTTAGTCTACACTCTTAGTCTCCGCTTGTCCAGCTGTCGATTGGCTTTACTGGATGATTAATGCTGACGCTGTTTCCGAGGTAATCTCATTCGATTCCGGTGAACAGGTGCTTAGCTTTCGTCCGTTATATGACGAACATCATCAGACCGTAACTAACCAAATCACTTTATACTTGATCAAAGAGACTAGATTTAGAATATATATTTTCGTATTGGAGTAGAGTTATGAGACTACCAGTAAATCAGTAATATGAGATGTATTCACCTTATTTCGTCTAAGGTATTGAAGGACTGGTAGTAGAATTTTCCAACCATGATATGAGTTGAGCTGACGTTTCCATTCAATTTCACATAGACTCGCCTTTCCAAAAGTTGTTCTCATCCAGGTTGGACTGCAGTTTAGACCTCTCATCGGTCTCATCAACATCCTCAGCAAGAGTCGAACTGCGACAGTGCAAGATGGGAGCTTGACACGCTAAGCACTCGGCTATAGCAAATATACGTTTGCTTAAGTGATAATCCCATTAAAGAATATGATATGGCAAAAAACCTGGCCTTCCTTGAAATTCACATCTGCCCCGCGACCCAAGGGCACACGTGGCAATGTTGCCGAGTGGTTAACGTGTCAAGCTCCCATTCTGCGCTGTCACGGTTCGACTCCTGCTGAGGGTGCTGATAAGACCGATGCGAGATTGAAACTGCAGTCCTCCCTGGATCTGAACAAAGCTATGTAAAATTCAATGGAAACGTCAGCTCAACTCATATCATTGTGGGAAAATTCTACTACCAGTCCTTTCTTACACGAAATAGGGTGAATACATCTCATTACACTGATTTACTGGTAGTCTCGAAACCCTACTTTCATACGTAACGAAATTGGGTGAATACATCTCATAGTACTGATTTACTGGTAGTTTCGAAACAATACTTAAATACGAAGACGAAATAGGGTTAATACATCTCTTATAATATATATACCGCTTGCTAGGGATTTCCTGGTGAGTTTTCTTGACTCGTTCGCTTGAATTTGATTCTATCGATGATATCTTGCTCTAATGATGTTCGTCATATGACGGACGAAAGCTTAGCACCTTTTTACCGGAATCGAATGAGATTACCTCGGAAACAGTGTCAGCATGAATCTTCCAGTAAAGCCAATCGACAGCTGGTCAAGAGGAAT